GCACCACATGCAAGTAAAGGGTGAAGATGGTTTGCAAGTATGTACCTGAACAATATCAGTTTTGTTTTTGCATCCTCTGCACTCAAATGAATTCTTCTTGAGGTTTGCAATAGCAATCAATCCACAACGCTCACAAACGTGAACCCTGTAGGCATCACTTTGGTCAAACAACCTTTCCTTGAGAAAGTGAGCAGCGCCGTGTGCGATCATGCAATCTCGTTCCATCTCTCCAAATCGGAGACCACCATCACGAGACCGTCCCTCAGCAGGTTGCCTTGTGAGGATTTGCACAGGGCCTCTGCCACGAGAATGGATTTTGTCATCAACCATGTGCTTCAGCCTCTGGTAGTAAGTAGGGCCAAGGAATATCATTGCTGTAAGTTGCCTGCCTGTATGACCATTGTACATGGTCTCAAAACCACGCATCTGATACCCACATTTGTGAAGAGCTTTGCTGATATTGTCCACAGTAACATCTGTAAAAGGAGTAGCATCTCCTTCCTTACCCATATGGGCTGCAACTTTGCCCATGACACACTCAATAAGCTGACCAATGGTCATGCGAGAAGGAATAGCATGGGGATTCACGATGATGTCAGGAGTGATGCCTTCCACAGTCCATGGCATATCTTCTTGTGTGTAAGTCATACCAACTGTTCCCTTCTGACCATGCCTGCTGCTAAATTTGTCTCCAATTTGAGGAATTCGAACTGATCTGACCCTCACTTTGACAAATCGCAACCCATCAGCATTTGTTGTCAGCAAAACCTGATCCACCATTCCAGTTTCACTGTGGCGCAAGCTCGTGCTATGATCACGCTTAGTGTAACGGGCAGCTTGCCCTTGTGCATCGTCTGGAGCTATGGGAGTGGTCTTTCCAATGATCACATCCTCACCTGAAACTCTTGTACCTGGAGGAGCAAGGCCATCGTCATCCAACTTATCATAAGAACCATGCCGCATTCCCATAGTATTAGCTCGATCTGGACGTCCAAAATCCTCTTTGACCAGTGTTCCCATCTTCTTCTCCTCATCTCTATACGATCGGAAAAACAGAGATCGAAAGAATCCACGGTCAATTGATGACTGATTCATAATTACAGAATCTTCTTGATTATATCCAGAATAGCAAGCAATGGCAACAATAGCATTAATTCCAGCAGGTAGCTGCCTAAAATGCAAGTGCTCCATGGCTCGAGTAGTAACAAGAGGTTTTTGAGGATAGTATAGAACATAAGCCAAAGTGTCCTGATAGAAAAAGAGGGGTGTAAGTAAACTCAACATAGCACTACAGGAGGAAGCCAAATATGAAGAGAAAGTTCGGTCAATCCCATACCATTCGAAATTGGTAGTTGGTCACATATATACCCATGGCTTGTTTACCCATAGCTGACTGATACGTGTTACGAGGAGACTGGAAGGAAAAAGTTTATGTCAAAACATCAGGAGAATGAAATCTTGAAAGAGACTAGTACATTGGCAAAATAAGGTCAACCTGGTTATGATCTGGGAAGGGTATGATTGAAGCACAAACTCCCAATATCAATGATGGGTGAATCTCACAATGAGTATACGTATCTGAATAAGCCTCTTTCGGATTTAGCCTCGCACTCACAAGATCCTAAAACAAATTATATTAGCATTTCAGCAAATCATAAAAGCTTAATATTCATGTGCCAAACATGGATATCACACTTAATTGCATCAGGACTACTCACGTTTATCGTCATAGAAATCATAGTTGTTTCTTCTTCTTCGGTGTCTATATATTCTATAAACCCCTTCGCAACAAGGTCATGCCAGCCACCCTCATCAGGGGATTCCTGGAAACAAATAGATGAATAAACAAAGCAAGAAGAACATCAAACACGTGCAATCAATTTAGGGGCACAAAAGGGGAGCCAAAGAAGTGCCAAGAAAATCGTGTAACATACTCTTTGTTGCAAGGCTTGAATATCCTTCTTTTTGATGAGAAGCCTTTGTTTTTCCACAATAAACAGCGGACGACTGCATCGACCATAGTCAGTATAAATCCTTAGTTCTTTCAAACGAATATCTCGAACAACCCCAACCTCAGTATTGACATCCACCTGTCCATACAACAACCATCCCAAAAGCAGTCAGGCAGAAATACTCACATCACAAACTGCTTCTATTCACATGAATGGCCTAATAAGCACCAAATGAACTACTCCAGTAGAATCAAATTAAGAAAGTAAAGATAACATATAAACAGAGCAGGAAAATGGAATTTCATAAATGCTACAGAATCATTGCATCTTAGAAGAGAAATAGAAAGAAAATGAGAAACATATCCTTACACGTCTCCTCAGACGTCTCAGAGTTTTCACCAACATGTCAGGGTCACGATGAATACCAACCCAACAACCATTCACAAAGATTTTTGTTGCTTGTGGAATCACGGCAGGTGAGATTTCCTAATGTAAAACAAAATGTGAGAATGTACATAAAAACCCAACAGATACTTCAGTTTCCAAAAGAACTTTAAAGATTTTCACCTCAAAGTTCTCGGTACCCCATTCCTCCAAAAATTCTAAAATTGGATATGCTGCCGAACCAACTGTTATATAGACCATCAGTGCAAGATTCTTCACTAGTCCACATGCCTGATGATATAGCACAAAAAGACAAAGTAATAAATTAATTTGGAAAAGAAAATAATCTGAGAACGGACTGGAAAAGAAACCATAAAGCAAACTGCACTCACTTGTCCTTCAGGTGTTTCTGCAGGGCACATCATTCCCCACTGTGAATTGTGCAACTGCCTAGGTTTTGCCAGCTTCCCTGGAAAAATGAACCACCAACAAGCATTAAGCAGAAAAACATTCAACTGAAAATTTGCATTGCACATTTCTTAATCCTTCTTCCTGTGTTTTGAAGTGTACGTGGAAGTTTCCGAGAGAAGTTAAAGCAAAAAAGAGAGCTAAAATGACTCCTCAAAAGTCCTAACAAGTAATTGACCAAAATTTAACTTCACCCTCACATAAGATTGAAGAACAGAAGGAAAAAGACAAATACCTTCACGGCCTATGGGAGAATTGAGTCTTCGCAAGTGCGACAAAGTCGAGGCATATGTCAAGCGATTCAACACCTGTGATATGTGATTCAACACAATTACTCTCATGAAATGAAGAAGAAAACATTTAAAACAATCAAATTTATGATTGGTTTACAACCCAACCTGTGAAACTCCAGCTCTTGTACCTGCTGCATTTGCTTGTCCCCAGTTGCCAGTAGCAAGCGAGTATTTAAGACCACTAGTAATAGTTTTTGCTTTAATTGCAAATTGCAAATTTACATCTTTTCCATTATCAACACACTACATGTACATGGAGACAAGATAAAAATCAAAAGCATAATAAGCATAATTACATATCAGGAAAAGACTTGGCACAGGAAACAACCTTCTGAACATAAGCTCTTACATCCCTGGTCAACTTTCGGAATAGCTGCATTAACAGATAGAATCCCAAAAATTCAAATGAGTAATGCTTTTTTTCTGATAGTCAAACAACCAACAATATGTATCAACCAACAACAGACCATTCGAAATAGGCCACCAAGCAAAGGACCAGCAAGATCCAGTCTCTTATTTCCATAGTGATCTCTATCGTCCTCGGCCCTTCGGCCAAGGGCACACAGCAGAAGCCGGTGAATGATATACCTAGTAGCAGCAGTAACATATATTTTTTTAGTATCACCATCACTCCACGCATACATGCACACTCCAAGAAAGAGAAAGAAATCCTACCCAAAATAATAAGCTTTCTTTGTCTCACAATATTCCCCAACCCCTACATGAGGAAGCATCTCCTTCTGAAGGATCTCTTTTGCATACCTGCATACATATACGAAAAGATTTAAATCTTTCAAGAAGCACAAGAGGATGAATAAAGTGTAGTCAATGCATGTAATTTCAGGAACACATACTTGATCCTCTTCTCCCTGGTGACACCAACAGTGGATCCTCTTTTTCCAATGTAATCTAGAGCAACCTGAAGCATATTACATCGCATCACAAATATGGTTGAAGAGAGAGATATAGTATGAGTAACAAACAAGAACATAATAACATTCTAAAACATTTTTACAAAATAGACCTTTTTCGGTAACTAATTCAAAGGGTACATGTACGTTATTACGCTGATTCAGTGGCACATTACACAAAGATCTCTATATTCCAAATTCTTATTTAAAACGGCGTTTTTGAAAATTCTTCTTAAATCAAAATACATTTATTCATTAAAAAAAAAAAGTGTCATTTAATTGCATAGAGATGGATCCTTTGCAACTGTAAAGTTTCACACTATCACAGAAGACATTTGAATAAATCTTGGATCACACAGATAATGATAAATATCCAATGCGCACCTGTTGATTTTGTATCACAAATGCTTCTTCCAATGAGGGCCGCAACAATTCCATCATTTGGGTATCAGCAAAATCATAACAGATATGCTCCAGTATATCTTTATCAGCAACAAATCCTAAGGCTCGGAATACAATAATAATAGGTATTTCTGTACGAATGTACGGAAGTGTAGCACGGATATATTGGCCCGATGAGCCCTGCAATTACACATAAATGTCAATCATAGGAAAGTGTGTCATGGAAAACTTCACTTCTGTCTAGTGATGATCATTACCCCTTTGGCACTTGTCCTAGAAAGCATCCGGACAAACATCGTACTGGGTGGCCTGTTTTGGGTCTCTGCCATAGACCGGACCTCCGCCACATAAGCATACTTATTTGGTTGCCTCTTTTTAAACACATATACATGATTGGTGCTCATTTTCTCCTGAGCAATTAGCACCTTCTCACTTCCATTAATGATGAAATAACCACCTTGGTCATATGGACACTCTCCAAGCTCGGTCAAATCCTTTTCTGAATTTTGATATAACGTACAGTAACTAGAACGGAGCATTATGGGAACCTATAAAACAAAACAGATAAGATTTTACGAAGGCAACTGTAGGCTCAATCCAGAATTGTTCTCACAGAATAACTTTGAAGCTGGCACAAATTACCTTCCCAATAAAGACTTTAGTGAAATCCTGTGTCTCAGTAACTTCTTCACCGTCGTGACCTTTCTTGATAACTCTCTTTGTGACATCGACATACAAGGGAGCTGAATATGTCAAATTCCTTAACCTTGCAGCCTTAGGAAACAAAGTTGCTGTCTCTCCATCTGATTCTGTCATCATAGGTTTACTAAGGTATATCTGACCAAAACCAATCTTATAAATCGTCTGCAAAAATTAAGCAACAATACAGAGTTAGACACTTCAATCCTTGTGTGCTTTTCATCAGATAATTGTAACAAAAATTAAGATTTTGATGACAAAGAAAGTTCATTGAATTGTGTAAATTCTCAAACGTAAGTGCTTTGCACACATGGGACACAGATGTTTCTAGCTTAAAATAGATGTTTCTTTACATAGTATAATTTACTGTCAAAATGTGGAAATGTTCAGGTATTCTTCCTCTCAAGTTTTCAAAGGTTTATTCAATGGGTTCCAGAATAACTACCCAGGAGCCTGTATCTAGCAGGTAAAATGTCGCCAAACCATAACTCTCTCTAAAACCCCTAAGAATCAAGCCCGCTACTCTTCACCACAAATTATCACAATAAAAAACCCAGAAACTGCAAAAAAAGTTACCACTGAATATAAAACATCTCAAAACCCTTTTTTTCAATTGTCTTATCTTCTTTTATGGTTTCTTAAACACCGCTTCCCCCCAAATAAAACCAAAACTGGAAACGTGCCCCATTAGAAACCCAAGATTTTCCATCCCCATCTGAGACTAGACGCCAATTACCCCAAAATAAAACCTTCAAACTTCCAACCTCTCTATTCCTTAAAAGATAAACGCTGCAAGTTTTGATTAATGAAATACCACTGAATAAGTAACAGTAATTATTCTCAATTGGCCAGCCTAACAACAAGCCCTTCAGACTCTCCATTACCAATTATCCCCTACAAAACCCTAAAATCCCTTTCCAAACCCTAGAATTTCCAATCAGTTAACTAGTTACTAAAAATCTTCAACAGATTAAATCGTTCATCAAAAAAAAGACCTCGGCGAAGTCAGGCTGGTGACCAGGGTTGTGCTGGGATTCGGGTCGGATCTCAATGTCCGCGGACTCATCCACGATTTCTTGCATCGTGTTCTGAATAAACTCGTCGAATGAGTCGAGTTGCTGACGCACCAAACCCTTCTCCTCAAAGTAGGCACTGATCACCGCCCACGCATCCTCCTGTGTTATCTCCTCCTCGTCGTCATCGTACGACTGATCGTAATACTCTTCCTCCATGTCCATATCTTGATTTGATTGCTTAATCAATTCAATTCAGCTCAAAACTAAATTTTAAACCCTGTATGAATAGATTCGGGGGGTTTGTCTCTTAAACTCAGTCGGAGCCGAGGAGAAGAGAAGAAGAGAGGAGAGCAGCCTGCGAGAATAAGGAAAGAATAATGAGTGATCGTGTGTGGCAATTTATATATACACCCAGTGAGGCGGCTAATGCATTTAGACCCTAGATTTTTGTTCGTTTTTCTAACGGTCACGATTACATGGATGTCACGGGGAGGTTTTTTGTCAAGTTATCCCTAATTAATTTAACAGAAATATTTTTCCTTAATACCCGACTTAATGAATGATTTCAAATATTTCCATATTTGCATCTGATCCTTGCATATATCTAGATATTATAGAGTTGTAAATGTGGGTTGGATAGGCCATGATTCTTGATTAATATAACTGAAGACGTATCTAGTGACACATTTTACTTCAAATAATGAAGAAATTATATAAAAATCTATTTTTTAACTTTACATTTCAATAATCAAATATAAAGACCCCTCCCATCTTAATTCTCCTTTCAAACTCCCACTCCACCACCTAACACTTATGGCTACCAACTGACTATCGAACTTCCACTATCCCACTCCACTCCACTTCATATCACTCCAACCTATCCTTTTACCAAATCACAATTCTCGCTTCACCATCGTTGCCTGCACGCCCTTAAACCCATATCCACTTCCAGTTTTTGGCAACTGGGGATCATAATGACAATGGTGCCACTAGTATAGTGTTTGCTACTTTGGAAGATAACTGATTTTGAAGGAGTTGCAACTGATGGGATCGAATCTGAGGTGTATCAACCCAGTTTTAATGGATGAACATTGAAAGGGGTGGCAGATTTCAACTTCATTGCATCTCTAACGAGATTTTGGACTGTAGTGGCGTCGTATGGGGAGAAAGGGTGGACAGGGATGTTGGTGGTTTGTCGATTTTGGGAGGAGCGACGATCTACAGTTTATTGTGAATCTATTGGTGCAAATGATGGCGATGGTACAATGGTGGTGGTGATGATGCTCTCTAGTTAGTGTGGTGGGTTGAAGTTGAACATGGAGATGGAGGTGGTAGTTGATAGTATATCTAAGGTGATGTCAACAATGGGGTGGGCGTGGGGGAGATGACAAATAATTTTATATCTAAAGATTTGTAATATGATCGTGATAACAAATATCTTCTGATTGATCCATGTGTTCCCTTAGTACAACCAGGTCCATTTTATGCTTAGTCTTGAGGGAAGGATGAGGGCATATAATCATACTCGCCACGTGATTATGAAGTGACGTCACCTACATTAGCATGTCACCTACATTAGCCACTATATACAGACAGTAAATTATGAGTTGGTAAAGTTTTCCATTCATATTATGCCTCTGTTTGAAGCACATTAAAATTTCATTATCATTCTTCTACTCATTTTCAACCACACATTTTTCAATAAAATAATATTTTCCATCACATCAATATATTTTCCTTCTTTTTCAACCACACATTCTCCATGATATTTACTATTCCAAATACATTATTCCAAAATAATGTGGCTTAAACACACCCATAGGGTATATTCTTGTTTGGTTTCACAAAACTTTTTTTTTTCTTTCAAATTTATTTTAAATAACATATTTTATGAATTCATAATTTTTGTCAACTTTTCAATTATATATTTCATCAATTATTATCAAAATTTACTGAAAAAAATTATATTTATCCCAACCAAACATGAGCACATACACACTTTCTATATATTACCTATACTTCAATTACTAATTCTCAGATTGGAGTGGTCTGGGCCTCTGGGGGAAGCCCAACACTTTTTACACTTTTCCGATGCCATTGAACACCATTATCAGTGAGATTCAATCGTCGTCGTGAACTTCTTCAATTATATATGAGCATGGACTAGCACCATCATAAATTCTATTCAGTTATCTTATAGTTATTACCTTACAAAGAAAATATTATTTTGTTAGAACTAAAAAGTTCAAATATTTGGGAAAAGCAAGTAATTTCTTTATATTAAATTACTATGAGCGATATTCCTTTGATTTTAAGCATTTTTTTTTTTTTACTATTATGGGAAAACAACTATTCGCTTGTGACACATCGAGAAACAAGGATTTCAAGCGAAAACCTTAAAAACACAATTTTTGAAATCCACCAAATTATGAAGAAATAAACTCACGAAATTTTATTAACGTACGATGAAAAAAATGATGAACTAACCATTTATTTATAAGAGTTTACATAGAAACCTAGTTTAAACAAATTAAAATTACAAAGAACTTGAATAAGCTAAATGACAAAAATAGCACTAAAACTTTAAAATCAGTTTTCGAGTTCTAAACGAACTCAAATGACCAAAATCCATTGTATGTCACAGTATAGTGGTGAGTTTTACTCGTCTCATAATTTTATCTGAAATGGTATTATGGACCCAAACGGGATCTCAATCGCCACATCAACACTATTGCCTTATTTCCTTTTCGATTCAATTCTTCTTTAATCTATTTAGTCATGTGTTCTACATCACTTTGTCCGTAATTTACTTTTAAGTTGCTTATTCTATTATTTTTTCTAAAGTATCTACCTTATTAAAAGTAAATCTCAATTCAACTTTCAAAATGGGGCTTCTGCCCATTCATGTATAAATAATCTGTGTGTAGACTGCACGTCAGATTGAAGCACAAGCATTCAAGTTTATATTATCATTTTACTTGGTGCTACTGCACCATGTTATGGACAAAACGGATTTGGACATGAACAAAATGGTCACGACTTCCTATGAAACATTTTTATATGTTTAGATGGATGGTTACAAAATTCTAAAGAGTTTACGATAAAATTGCAATGTTATTGGACATCTACAAAACACGCAAAGAAATGATTACTAGCTAATATTCAAACACTATACTTAATTATAATGTTTATGCTCACCATCATTCTTGGTAGCACCTTCCACCAAACATCTTCTACTTGTATACTCTTTGACTAATTTTTGGTTTGTTAAATCATTAACAAGTCATTGGGACCTGGTTTGTGCAACAAAATGAAAGACACACTACTCTTCGCAACCAATGGTACAATTTTAAATTGGCAAAAGTCCAAGGGCAAAAAATAGATTTGTGAACATGTTTTGGCCACAAACATAAGGCCTTTTTCTTCCCCAGTGGGGTGGCCTCCATTTCTCACTTTCTAACTTTCCTCCATTAGAGCCACTTCTTGTTGATCTTTACTTCAATGAAGAAGCATCCACAATACCTTCTGCTAACTCTAATTCTAACTATCCAGTCCATATCCGCCATTGATTTTGTCTTCAATGGATTCCATTCTGCAGACATATCACTCTATGGAAATGCTACAATTCAATCAAGAATTCTTACACTAACCAATGACACAACTTTTTCGATTGGACGTGCTCTATACCCGACAAAGATCATCACAAAACAACCAAATGCTTCTGGCGTTCTTCCCTTTTCGACGTCTTTCATTTTCGCTATGGAGCCTTACAAGGATAGGCTGCCGGGACATGGCATAGTTTTCTTGTTTGTACCACATATTGGGATCCAGGGTTCCAGCTCAGCACAGCATTTAGGCCTATTCAACTTTACGAATAATGGGAATCCAACTAACCATGTTTTTGGTGTTGAGTTTGATGTTTTTAAGAATGAAGAATTCCAGGACATCAACGATAATCATGTTGGAATTGATGTCGACTCACTTGTATCAGTAGCTTCTGAGGAGGCAGGCTATTGGCCTGATAAAGGCTCTTTCAAGAAACTGAAGCTGAACAGTGGGAAAAATTACCAGGTTTGGATTGATTATGCTGATAATAATGTCAGTGTTACGATGGCACCTGTTGGGACGACAAAACCTAAACAACCTTTGCTGAATGTTTTTCTCAATCTTTCCGAAGTTTTCGAGGAGGAAATGTATGTTGGTTTTACTGCATCCACAGGAGCTTTGATTGAAAGTCACAAAATCTTGGCTTGGAGTTACAGTAATTCAAACTTTTCACTGAGTGAGACATTGATCACAAGGGGGTTGCCATCTTTCGAGCTTCCTGGGATACCAATATATAAATCCAAAGGTTTTATTGCAGGTATGGCAGTGGGAGTTTTCTTGATTAGTATCATGTTTTTAGTAGTAGTTTTCTTGATTATTAGATGGAATAGGAGAAGAAAGAGGGAGAGAGAAGAAGTGGAGGATTGGGAATTAGAGTACTGGCCACATAGAATTATGTATCAAGAAATTGATGCAGCAACAAAGAGTTTTTCAGATGAAAATGTGATTGGAATTGGAGGAAATGGGAAGGTCTACAGGGGAATATTACCCGGTAGAGCCGAGGTGGCGGTGAAGCGTATTTCACCTGAAAACAGTGAAGGAATGAGAGAATTCTTGGCTGAAATTTCAAGTTTGGGAAGATTAAAGCATAGAAATTTGGTGGGTTTGAGGGGTTGGTCTAAGAAAGAAAAGGGCAGCCTAATATTGGTTTATGATTATATGGAAAATGGGAGTTTGGACAAAAGGATTTTTGAATGTGATGACAGCAAAATTTTGAGTTTTGAAGAAAGAATAAGAATTATAAAGCAAGTGGCTTCAGGTGTCTTGTATTTGCACAATGGATGGGAGGCAAAAGTTTTGCACAGGGACATTAAGGCTAGCAATGTGTTACTTGATAAAGAAATGAACGCAAGACTAGGCGATTTTGGGCTAGCCAGAATGCATGACCATGGACAGGAGGCTGGTACGACTCGTGTAGTTGGAACTGTCGGTTACTTGGCACCTGAGATGGTCAAGACCGGTCGAGCATCAACTCAGACAGATGTTTTCAGCTATGGAGTATTGGTTCTGGAGGTGATGTGTGGTAAGAGGCCAACTGAAGAAGGCAAGCCACCGTTGGTAGATTGGGTGTGGGATCTAATGAGGCGTGGAGAATTACTTAATGCCCTTGACGATCAGTTAAGGGCTGATGGAGGGTTCGACAAAGAGGAACTCGAAAGAGTGCTTCAATTAGGCTTGTTATGTGCGCATCCGGACCCTGATGCCAGGCCTACAATGAGACAAGTTGTGAAATTATTCGAGGGGAAGACTGAGGTTGATGAAGCCGAAGGCGAGAATACGGGCACATCTCTCTTGGAGAAAATTAATAGTAAAGAAATTTGGTCCATTTATCCCCAGAGTTCTAGCACTCGTTCACATCCAACATTCGAAGAAATCAAAGAGGGGTTGTCTTCCTCCATGTCTTCTTGGTCCAATACTACTATGGATGGTAGGTGAACAACCTAAACAGATTCAAACTTTCAAGATTTTTAGTTATGAGACTTGTTCTTTTCTTGGTACCTTACATTCATTATTTTTTTAGCGCTTTCATCTGTATAAAACCATTCTTATTAATTTCCCTTCAGATGGGCTTAGAATTTTGGCTTGTTGGTATAAATTCACTGAAATAATCAGACACGCTTAGGGGTTCCAATTCAACAATCAAAAATTAAAGAGCTTTTGTTCTTTCTATCCATTTGTAATTTACCCACCACCCTTGTTAGTTTTCTATGAAATCAGACCAAACAAATCATATAATCCAGAAAATTCTTGGTACCCTGAAAGGCCAAGCAGTTATGAGACTCGAAGGTCTTTGAAAGGAAATTAGCGAATCAAACTGGCTTTTCTACCATTGAATAGAAAAGTAATTTTACTTCTCTTTTGACTGAATCTACAGCTTTTTAACTAGGGAAAGGTATGCTTTCATCATTCTTAATAATGCGACAGGGGGTCGAGGATAAGAATCGTGAGGATACAAATTGCTGACCGTTGATGAATGATTGAATGCTGATGAAACAAAAAACCTTTATAAAAGCTGCTATTTTACATGGTATTGGGCTCACCTAAGTTTGTTACATTGAATTATGGAATCTACCTGCCATTAAATTACTTTTTTTTGGCGTGTGGTATGTAGTATTGAACGAGATTGTACGATATTATAAAGAAAATATGCAACTTCTTATTCTCATTTAATTATCCAGTAACACTTCATTTTTTCTTCTGTTTATTCGCAATATTGCGACAGAAGTTGCTAAATATAAATCTTCTTCTAAATGTTTTCTCCAATTTTCCATCTTCTTAGTATTTTGTATAGTGTACCAAAAATATACTTCACTAGGCTCTTGTTGAGCGGAATGTCAGCTCGGACTTTCGTCAAAAGTTTTTCTAACATAAAAGGACAACGAGGTCGAATCAAAAAATTCTATAATATGTGACAAATATGTCAAACATATTAAACACCGAGCAGTTTATCGTTTAGACTAGACAACATACGAGTACGACACCTTACTTTAAATCTTGAGATGATTGTCCACCAACTAAATGGCTAAAAAATACTTCGGAAAATAATTAAATCAGAAGTCCAAAATATTATGGATGGAAAAAAAGGAAAAAAAATTAAGATTCTTGTTTGAAAATTAACGTACTGTCCAGTCAACTAATTTACACGTAGAACCTTCTCAATTCCGAAAATTGACCATCCACCATTTAATAAAAATCAATTATTTACTCATTACATATATGGTTGTTTGACCGATTTAAATGATTTTTAAAAAGTCAAAAGTTGACTTTACATCTAAGAAGTTATTTTTGAGCACGATGTATAATTCTTTGAAAATGTACACCCATGTTGGATAGAAATTATAATTAGATTTTTAGTAAATTTTGATAAAATTTAATGAAATGTGTGGGTGAAAAGTTGTGGATCTCATTAAATATGTAATTAAAATTAATTATTGACTTTGAATTGAAATTTTAATTGATTTTTAATCCAAACAAACAAACAGGGGCATAACTCTTTGAAAATCTCTCGTTGAATAGTAACCACATGGTATCCGTGCGAACCCGTACCAAACAAGCAAGGGAAATTAAAATAGGAAAAAAAAAAAAAGGCAGCAGCTGTATTATCTCTCCGTACCACAATTCTTTGATAATGACTCTTCCATTCTTCCACTTTTATAATAATCGAAATAATATTTTTTGAGGCACCAATCTATTAAAATTGTAGCAATTAGGTCCGCAATCTATTAATTTGGTAGTTTCAATCCATTATCCACACCTATATATTTTTATTCTCTCTCTTTTATCCATCTTTACATACAAAGCCGCCGTTTGTTTCCCATGATTTGTCAAACAAGAATTAATTTTTCTACTCCTTTTTTCCAACACGTGGGTCCCATTGTGAGATAAAAAGTAAAAAAAAAAAAAAAAGGCTGATTTACAAGGATAGAAATTTTATTAAAATGAGCTTCAAAATTGGAAACAAACAGGCTGAAA